TTTTGATTTAATTATGATATATTGTGGTATTAATTATGATTTAAGGATTGTTTGAGATGGTTTAAATAAGTATATTTTTTTTATTTTTTACTAAAAGATGTGCAATGTGATAAAGAGATGATGTGATCTAAATAAGACACTACTACAAAAATAGTTAAAAATCACACTTTGACAAAAAAAAAATATCTCACTTTTATTGGAAGTGTGATAAAAAAAAATTAGATTGATATTTTAATCACACTTGATTTGATTACGTGTGATAATATTTTTTTTATATATCACTTTTCAATTAAGTGTGATTATATATATATATATATATATATTTAATCACATCTTTTAATTAAAGTATGATTATATATACACTAGTAATTTTTAATCACACTTTTTAAATAAGTGTGATTATATATATATATATTTTTAATCACACATTCTAATTAAAGTGTAATTATTTATATATTTTTTAATCACACTTTTTAATTAAAGTGTGATTATATATACATAGTGTGATTATATATATATATTTTTAATCACACATTCTAATTAAAGTGTAATTATTTATATATTTTTTAATCACACTTTTTAATTAAAGTGTGATTATATATACATTACTACTTTTTAATCAGACTTTTTTAATGAGTGTGATTATATATATATATTTTTTAATCACACATTCTAATTAAAGTGTGATTATTTATATATTTTTTAATCACACCTTCTAATTAAAGTGTGATTATATATACATTACTACTTTTTAATCAGACTTTTTAAATGAGTGTGATTATATATATATATATATATATATTTAATCACACATTCTAAAAAGTGTGATTATTTATATATTTTTTAATCACACCTTCTAATTAAAGTGTGATTATACATACATTACTACTTTTTAATCACACTTTTTAAATAAGTGTGATTATAAATATATTTTTTAATCACACATTCTAATTAAAGTGTGATTATTTATATATTTTTTAATTACACATTCTAATTAAAGTGTGATTATATATACATTATTACTTTTTAATCATACTTTTTAAATAAGTGTGATTGTATAAAATATTTCAATTTGATTTTTAGATAAAATATACAATTCCTAATTTTTTTTTAAAAAAGAAAAACCCCAACACCAAAACACAAATTAAAAAAAAAAACCGTAAATAATAAAACTTTCTATAACGTACATATAGTATGCCGCTAATATATTAACTATACACGATACACGTATCCCAACTATTAAAAATATTAAATATTTAACCACACACAAAAAATCAACCCTTAAAAATTATATACTTTCCACTACAGTCGTTTAAAATATTACATTTCTCACAACGTACAATTATTATCATGAAAGGTGCTACTAAAAAAAAAAGGCACTAAATAAAAATTAATTAGCGGCAAAACTGAAAAATACGAAACTTTCTGCCAAAAATATTAAAATTAAAAATTAAAAATTAAGAAATTTTCATCTCTTTCTATAGACTCTCTCTCTCTCCATCTTCATCCCTCATCACCACTGACATCCTTTTCTTTCCTACCCTAAACCTTTCTCTCACTCACGCTCGCTGATTGACCTTTCTCTCCCTCTTCTCCAACCCTCTTCACCGACCTCATAGCTACATAGCTAGCGCACACTAATAGCCGCTTCGGTTGCCCCTGGTGAGTGGAAAAAGAGGGAAGGAAGAGAGTGAAGATTGGAAGGCGGTGTGTTTAGGGTTACAAAGGAGGCCATGGTAGAAGAAGAACGATGATGGAAGTGGAGGAGAGACTCTCCCCTTGTTTTCACAAACAGTCTCCTCTCTCTCTCTCTCTGTCTCTCTCTCTCTCCATCCTTCCCCAGGTATTTATTCCTTCCAATTTTCTTCATATTTATTTGCTTTAGATTGCTTAAGATTTGTTGGCATTTCCTTTTTTTTCTAAAAAAAAAAAAAAAATCACTTGATTGCTTCTGTTAATTGCTTCAGATTTCTTGATTTATAGCATAATTTCTGTTGAAATTTCTGTTCAAAATTGGTGAAACAATTTCTGTTTTTTAAAAAAAAAATTATTTTAAACAATCTGTTTTTGTAAACAAATTTTTGCTTTATATTTGTATCCTTTTGTTTTTGTTTTTTTAATGGATTTAAAACTAATATGGGTGAGTGTATTTTGGTATTTTTGATGGTTTCTTATTAATTTTGATGGGTTTATGATTAATTTTGTTTGGTTTAATTGACATAAATCCTTTTAAACTCTAGATTTATTTTTATTGGGTTTATGATTTTTTGTGCTAGTTTTGAATGCTGAGTTCAATCTTTTATATTGGCCATTTTGGTATTCTGTTTTCTAGATGTCAACTCTTTACAATCTAAGATATTCAGGAGCAAACAATGAAATATTTAGCAGGACTTTTGAGAGCTTTAAGTGGGTCACGGTCCCCTTTCCACTTCCAGTTCTGCCTTTGTACATGTTAATGCTAGAAAAGGAGAGTTGGAGAGACAAAGAGGCCTCCATATATATCAAAATTAGTGAAAGATGAGATGTGTTTGCCTCAAGGCATCAGTAGAGGGGCTATTTATAGATATTTTCACTTTTGGCTTTGGCTGATAAAATGGTGACACCTGTTTTATGTTTGTTAAAGTGCTGTAATCCTTTTCCCATCTGGCATCCCCTTGGTGCCTTCCAGTCACTAGCATTACCCTCTTATTCCCCCTAGATGATTAGCTCCTTGAAGCCCCTAGATTGATCCCACAACATAACATGAAAACGGCTTCCTAGTGCTCACACCTACCTCTTTGATGGACCGTATTAATAAAATTGTCAATTTGTCTAAGGTTCCATTTCATCTTTTGGACGAATTTGCATCACTAGTCTAGGTGATCATCTGTTGGCTGTGCTAGAACCTGTTATAAGTAGTTGCCCTGTTAAGGTAATGTCTGTGGGTCTTAGTATTTAATTATTTCTTAAATGAATGCACTTTGTTTTGATCATATTAGATGATATGATACCTGGTTATGAGCAACCATTTATTTTGGAATTCTAGTGCTGTAATAAACTTTAGTTTAGTGTTTGTGTGTTTGGGCATCCCTGCTGGTTTTTCTACATTTTCGAATGCAAAAGATTTTGAGGCTCCCTCTTTTGAATTGTCTAGGCATGGTGCACTACCTCTTAGTGCAGTCTGGATCTTTAGATCCCTTTTGGTGTATATTTTCTTTGGATGGGTGCTATATTTGTGTTTTGTAGTTATTGCACCTTCTTTGGTCTTAGTCTCAAAATTGGCAAAAAAATTCAGGGTTCTGCTAGAAGTCATCTATAGCTTACACAACAAACATGGATAACTATAGTCATTTGGCAATTCAGATACATATCACACAAAGAAAATTATGTTTGTTGTGTCATATACACTCATCTAAATTTTAAAGTAATTATTTTTTAAAATTTTAAAAGAATTAAGTAATTATTTTTAAAAATTTTAAAAGAATTACAATTGAGACAAAGCCCGTTATGACTTCTAATTTTAACATTTTTTCTTATTAGACAGATAAAGACATTATCAACCATGTCAACTCCACCAGCCTTGGTTGCCCATAATAACAATTGATTTTTGTTCGGAAGTATATACATGAAGACTTAGTTTTTGTTCAAAAATTGATAGAAATTGATATCCGAATGAAAAGCACCAAAATTTTATAGAAACCATTGGATTCTCAATTTCTTTTCTTTTTGAAATTGTGAAAGAATCTTCTATATTCATTCTCAGTAGCCCCTCACCCTTAGGTATGACTCTTTTCTTCAATAGATGACTACATGGATTTGTAATTAGAAAAAAAAAGAAAAACTACCTTTTGTTTGGTCCTCTACTATATTAGTTTATATTGAATATTTTTGTCTAATATACGTTAATGCATTGCAAATTATGGTTAAAAAAATGTAACTATAGTCGACATTATTTGTCTAAAGTTTTGTACATAATATTTGTAACCCTCTCCGTCCCTGCTCATAGGGGTTGTCGATTGAACTTTGAACTTAAGAGTTACAATGGCTGCTGCTGCAACATTTGGTGCTACAAACACTACCACCGCTACTGCCGCCAACAAAGAGTATGATTATTATCGTTCCTTCAATCATGACAAGAGCTCATGCTCATTGCTCACACCACCTAGACATCATCACAACTCTCCTCTTCGTAGTCGTTTATTTCTTCATTGTAAGTTAACACCTATGACAACTTCTTCATTGGCCATCCCAGGTGAATAGTTTTAATTTTAGGTTTATTTTTCTTTTTAAATTTAATATGAAAACTATTTGTGTGTTAATCATGTCTATCTAATTTATTTATTTTTAGCCTTTTGGCCTAATGTTGGAGTGGGTGTGAGCAGTGAAGATGATCTTTCTTGGACCTAATCTTTGTCGTTCGCATGCACAACAACTGTTTGACATTTGACGGGATCTCTTACTGCAACTGAGGGTCGTGGCTTTGCTGTGGTCAGTCTATTTATTTTTTATGTCCACCCCTCTCTTGTTATTTAGCATTTGTTTGAATGAGCACATGGGATTTATTCAATTTCATCAATGAATGCTTCACTTTGTTCTTATATGCATATATTTTATGCATAATGTACTATGAAATTCTATTTCTAGCTGTGCATTCATGTTTTTCAGTTTCTGGCCATGTAACAATGTGTTCTACTTTGTCTCTTAATATTAATGCTCTCATTTTGTTGCAATTAGTGGTTATGCCTTAACAAAATTTTACAACCTCTTCATTCACAACACCTCTCTCCCCTACGAATGACTCTTTTAAAAAATGACTCTTTTAAAATTATGTAGTTTTTATTTATTTACTTTTTGCTCCAAAAAAAAAAAGAAGAAAAAAACAAGAGGTAAATTGCAACTTGAGTTGATGATTAAGTAATCTGGGTAATGTTGGTTCAATTAAATATTTGCTGTAGTTCAATTTATATTCTATTTTGATGTGTATCCCTTTGATGTTTCTAATAATTTGTTTTCGTTGCAAAGGTTGTGGCACGGTTTAATAAGATTATGACAAAGCTGCTTTTGGAGGGAGCTTTGGACACGTTCAAGAGATATTCAGTTAAAGAAGAAGACATTGATGTATGTAGTTATCTGGAACCCTTTCAAAAGTTGGCTACTTTTTTTTTCCCTCTTATTGTGTTCCTTTGTTGGTAGATTTGTTCACCTAGATTTCCATCTCTACTGGAATAGGTAACAGATGCCTAACCTGCATATCTTGAATGTGTGAAGGGTATAATATCACTGGATTTCTGATCCATGACTTGATTTTCTATATTATAAGTGAAAATGTTGTCTCATTTGGAGTGCCTGATTAATGGGTGATTTTGATGCCTGACTAGCTCCATATTTGTCATACATGACTATTTTTCCTCGATGTGTTGAATTTCCTGTCATGGGGCTTGTCAGATCTGCCTGTGCATCTGATGGCAAAGAATCACCACCTTTTGGATAGGTTATAACCAAAAGTACTTTGATTAGTTAGGGATTCACCTTAATGAATTGCTAAATTGAATGTCATGCGGAAGAAGTGAACATTTGCTGTGGTAAAACAAACCTGGTCTGACATGATTTAGAATATTTTCAGATCACTATCATGTCAAAACATGAGTTGTCTATTATTTATTGGGGTGGAATTGTTGGTGCTGATGTGGATAAATGTAGCACGAATCATGTAATGCTTTCATCATTCCAATTGTTTTACATGGTCTGTGGTCATTGTTTTGCTTGAACACTCATTAATAATAGGTTCAATTATTGTATGTATGTATCAGGTAGTGTGGGTTCCTAGTAGTTTTGAAATTGGTGTTGTTGCAGAAAAGCTTGGGAAGTCTTACAAATATCAAGCCATATTGTGCATTGGAGCTGTGGTCACAAGTTTTTCTTTTTAAGGTTGCCATGGGAGGGTTTTTTGGTACACGGCTTCATGTCAACACTCGTGTCTGTAGTTTAAAAAGTCTCTCTTGAGTTCTCTCCCTAGAAGCTCACCTGTCCTAGAAAAATAGTTTGGATTCTGGTTACTAGATTTATTTCTTTTGTAACAAATATAAGAAATTTAATAACGTCCAACTCTTAAATAATATTGATCTAGGCTTTGTTCAGATTGATTGAGCCTGTAGACGGCAGAATTATTATAGACAATATTGATATTTCAACAATTGGTCTTCATGACCCCCGTAGCCATCTAAGTATTATACCCCAAGATCCAAACTTATTTGAAGGGACCATTAGGGCCAACCTTGATCCCCTCCACGAGCACTCAGATCAAGAAATTTGGCAGGTCAAACTCAACTTCTTACCTTTTTTGTCTTCATTTTTCTAAGTTTTGAAAAAGAAAATCTTAAACTATAACAGTTCGACCAAGTGAAGTCCATAAAATAAACTGTTAGAAGAAATATCCCAGATATTATGGATAGCCATAACTATTTTAAATTGTTTTGAAATCACAAGTGATCCCATTTTTTGTAATATGAATTCCTTAGTTCCTTCTATAAATTCTTGCCAAAAATTTGTTGTTAAAGTTTGGTTTTCCAGTGTTTATTCCCAAACTTTTTTGCAAGTTTAATGTATGGGCATGTTATGATTACCAGAAAGACTCACCTTCTTTGTGATTCTATTTTGATTTGGAACAGGCACTTGAGAAGTCTCAGCTAGGGGATTTTGTTTGCCGGAAAGAGAAAAAGCTAGATACACCAGGTATTTGCACTAAATATTTGAGCATTAAATTTATGCTCTATTATTAATATTACATCTAGAAGCTTTCCTTTTGGCATTTGTCTAAGACCAGTTGATAAATTGTATTTGTCTGAAATTCATAGTTCTAGAGAATGGAGATAATTGGAGTGTGGGCAGCAGCAACTTGTTTCCCTGGGCCGGGCTTTACTAAAACAGGCAAGAATTTTGGTTCTTGATGAAGCCACTGCTTCATTTGATTCAGCTACAGATAATCTAATCCAAAAGATCATCCGAACAGAGTTTAGGGACTGCACTGTGTGCACTATTGCTCATTGTATCCCAACTGTTATTGACAGTGATCTGGTTCTGGTCCTCAGTGATGGTGCGTACACTAATACTTCCCATTTCTTCTTCCATTTAGTGGACATAAGTGTTGCTACAATCTGCAGAACTTTTTCCTAAGAATTTTAGTATAATCTGCATTTGGTAATGTTATTAATTTTCACGAGTATTCAAAAATTTGTCATTTCTTTTTCTTTTAAACTTTTGACAAGATAAATTAAATTAGTAAAAGGCTCTAGAAGAGAAAGCTGCCCTTGTAGATCTGTAGGAACAATATCAACACCCACAACTCTTTAGATATCTTTCTTTTTCACTAGTAACACCAACTAAGCACAATGCGTTTGCATTGAATCAAATTTTCCAAGATTCATCAATTTTTTTTGATGTTCTTGAAATGATGAAAACTCAAGGAGATTATGGTATACAAGAGTACATATCTAATCTTGATCCTCAGGATATGCAGGTGAATATGTATCTTGATTAAGAGTTAACTTTTAGAATGTAAATAAGGGTTTGAGAGAGTTGTTGGTCTTCGAAGTCAAAGTCTTAGGTTTGATATTTTACACTGTAAAAATATTAGAGAGTTTTGCTTCTCATTTCTCAACTTGAGTGTGATGGTATGGCAAGTATTACCTAAAAATGATTTTCTCTCTTTAGCTCACGGTAATTGCTGGAAGCTGAATGAAGGCTGTCGCTTCTTGATTCTCTTGTGACTTGTCCCATCAAATTTATTAACATAATGTTTCTACAACTCCCAAGGTTGTTTGCTATGAAGCACGGACACGGACACGGATACGGGA